TCACCCGCACACTCACCCCTTTAGCTCACCTGCACACTCACCACCACCACCACCCTGCCTACTCATCAACCCCCACAACCGCGAGAGAGTGAACTTGCGTGACCCCCCCCCACACCCCCCACACACCCCCGTGCAACTGACCCCCTCCCCCGCTGCCCCCCCCACCACCCACCCTTCGACCCTCCCCTCGCCGGGGGCTGTTCCTGGAAACCCGCGCGTTCACACGCTCACACCCCTCCCTCTCCTCTTCTCTTATCGCGGAATCCGCGCGCGCGCCTGAACCCGGGGTCATGTTTTCAGCGCTCCGTCTCCCTCTGCGCGTCTCTCAGAGGAGCCTCGCGACACTGGGATGCAGTGGTTTGCCGAATCCCAACACTTGGCTCCCCCCTGCACCGCCTCCCCCCCACTTCCCCCACCTCCTCCACGCCCCCCCCCCCTCCCCCCAGCCAAGCGACCTTGCAGCCTGACCCGTGCCAAAAGAGGTGCAATGGAGATGTGTTATGAAGAAGGGTGGGCCGTTGTCCGAAACGTCGCCTGTTATAGACTTGTCGTTGTAAGACCACGGCTTTATTGACGAGCGTGTGGAGTTTTGGGGGGGTTTGTTTCAAGAGGCGGCATGGAGAGCGCGCGGGGAGAGGCTGCGGCGCGCATCGCTTCAGCGAACCCTTGTGGGTATTGGGCCGAGGCCCCTCCAGCGACTGAAAGACAGCTCGGCTCATGAACATCCACCACCATCATCATCACAATAATTACCACCATCATCAACATCACTTTCAGCGTAATTATTACCACCATCATAATCACACTCATGACCACCATCAGAATCACTTTAATCATAATCGTTAACACCACCATCATCATCATCATAATCACACAATACCACCATCATCACTTTAATCATAATCATTACCACCATATATTATCATAATCACACTCATGACCACCATCATTGGCACCATCATAATCACACTCATGACCACCATCATCATCACTTTCATCATAATCATTACCACCATCATCGCTCTGTGTGAGTTGTTGGTATGTTAAGAGTGCATGGTGTTATTTGTGTGTTCACATCCGGCGACCCGAGTTCGATTTCCGCTCACAACCAAAATTAGTGACGAATTCCTAAACCGGTCTGAGACCTCCCCTTGGTCATCTCAGCCTTAAATGAGTACTGTATCTGGCATGGTGTGTAAAACTTCTGCAATGTGGAGACGAAGGCGGACGAGCGTGCTTTGGACTTTGAAGACTCATTTCTTTAAAAACCCCATCTCTATAAACTTCCCTCTTTCGTTTGGTCGGTTGCCCTGGTTTCGTGTTTTTTAGTTTCCTGCATTTCATTGGGATCCCAGGATGGAATGCGAATTATAAATTTTAATTATTATTATAGGTGCTCACTAACAGCGCTTGCTCCTCCGACAGCCTCATATGAACAGGAGATCTTTGTCCGTTTTGGCTATACACACGACGAGTGTGTGTGTGTATACACAAAGACAGAGATCACACACGAGTGTGCGTATGTACGTACGTGTGAATGTATATACACGTGTGTGTGTGTGTGTTACCTGTGTAGTCACGGGGCCCCTGGGCAGCACGCGAAAGTGATACGGGCAGCAGCGCGCTCACCAAACGACAACACTGCCCACCCCCCCTCCACATCACATCACCAAGTTTCTATTTACGAGGGGAATCCACGGCCCGCGCGTCGTAGCCGACCCGCTACTTCATTTCTCGGCCACACGACCCACGTGACAGACAATCATCCGTCACGGCGAGGATCTTAGCCGAGCGGATCTCCCGATGTTCACGCCGGATGCTCATTTAAGGCTGAACTGACACGGACAGGGGAAGGGGGCCTCACACAGCCATGGCCACTGATGTTGGTGATCGCACTCAGGGTGACAAAAATACAGACAAAGGTCCCCCCGTATAGCCAACACGGACTGTTGGGGCATGTGATGTTAGCGAGGGTCTATGAAGGCAAGCACGGTACACGAGGCAGTGATTGGTCAGAACCGCGCCAGTCCGCATTTGTCTTCCCAATCCTGATGTTTTACACACCGCACCAGGTACGCATTGAAGGCTGAGTCGAGCTAGGGGAGGCCCAGGACCGGCTCAAATATTCGCCAGTGTTATCGGTCCTGAGCGGGAGTCGAACTCGGGTCGCCGGGTTCGTAGCGCAGTGCCCCAACCACAACACCACTGCTCCACACACACACAAAGATCCTCCATTTAGCCTGTAACAGACTGTTGGGGGCAAGTGCTGTTAGCGAGCACCTATGAAGGCCGGAACGGCCCACGAAGGGGTGGGTGGCCAGCACCACGCCCGACCGCCTTTGTCTCCCCAGTGACGATATTTACACACCGCACCAGGTACTCATTTGAGGCTGAGTCGGCCTGGGGAGACCCAGGACCGGTTCAGATAATTTTCACTGGTGTTGGCCGTGAGCGGGAATCGAACTCTGGTCGCCAGGTCCGAAGCGCAGCGCGCTAACCGCCACCCTACCGCTCCGCACACACACCACACGCACACGTGCACACACAGCCTCGGAGTGAGGGTGACATCACCGCCTGCACTTCTCCGTCTCTTCTCTCTCACGCTCAGGTGTCGCCTTTCATTGCCGGGGGCAGGAGGGGGGTGACAAGGGAGTGAGGGGAGGTGCAAGTGAGTGGAGGAGGAGGTGGGTGTGTGGGGAGTGGGGTAGTGGATGGGGTGAGTGTAGGGGGGGGTGGTAGTGTTTATAACGAGAAGCGCTGGGGTGCTGCAAGTACAGCCGTGCACAACTCGGACCAGTGCGAGCGATCGCCGGGGCAGCCCCCTGCCCTCCCCTCTGCCCTGCCGCGAGCCGCTCACGCGCCGCCCCCGTTTAAAGAGCCATAAATCGTGGCGAGGACTCTAATCGGTGGGTGTCGCTCACGGCGAGGGATGGTGACGGGACAGCGGCGCGGAACGCCGTGGAAGTCACCGGGTGGTTGACAGCTTCATCAGCAGCAGTAGCAGCAGCAGCAGCAGCCCCGACCCCACGCGACGTTCAGCCACCGACGGGCAAAGTTGCCCCGAACGCGCTCGGATGTCGGAAGCTAAGCAGAGGGGGGTTGCTCCTTGTTAGCACGTGGGATGGGTTGACCGCCTGCACCGGGCACTTCTTGCCCAGGTGTTGCAGGCGTGTGGGGGCTGCGTGGAGGGGCCAGGAGATGGCGCTGCTGAGAGTCGCCCCCCCCAGTCCACCGCTGTCCCCCCACCCCCCGTACAGAGCGCGGTGCCGGGGCTCTCTCCGGATTCCTCGCGCATGAAGCCAACAGTCCTGCTCCGTGGGATTGGGCAGACATCCCCCAATGTGTGCGGGACGCTCCCCCCCCCCCCAAAAGATTATAACTTTGAGACTCAACGAAGCTTTCGTGGCTCTCAAAAAGAAGCTATTATTGTTATTACCATCATTTAGACATCAGTGGTGGTGGTGAGAACAGCGTGTTCTTGCTTGTTTTTTTGCGCAGCACCCGCGCGTGAACGCGGCACACGGAGGCGAGGGAGAGTCGGCGTGGACCCGGACCCCTCTTGCGGGGGCCACTGGGCGATCACTGAGCGCCTCAAGAGAGCCGGCGCTGAGACCCCCCCCCCCCCACTGCCCCCCCCCCTCTTCCCCACCCCGCTGAGCCACTTCAGAGTGCGAGGGGTCCACCGGTGACCGTGGCTGTTGACATCGCGGATCGTAAAAAGGTAAAGGCGCAGCCCTGCAATTTCTTTCTCACACCACTGCTGGTGGAAGGTCCTCCACCAGAGGAAGCTCAAGAAAGCCCTCCCCCCCCCCCGGGAGTATTTGGCCTACTATTCCACGGTGGCTATAAATCACGGCGGCGGACGGGGGGTTAAAGAAAAATTGATCATTGTTTTAACTGCCGAGATCGATTCGTTGTCTGTCACGTGGAACGCGTACACCCGTACACACACACACGCACGCGGAACACGTGTACACACATCGCACACTCATATCGACATTGTGTTTCGAATCAGCTATATTGACGATGACTGTGTTAGTCGATGAGCGCTTCGCGCGGGACGTGTTTAACAAGCATCGGGCGCGTGCAGAGTGGAAGGATTTTTTTTTTAATGGGGATTAAGTTGGAAAACGCGCGAAAATGCGAAGCGTGGTGGTGGGTGGCTCGGACTGGAGTTTGCATAAACCCTGGTTTCATAGCGACTATCATCAGCACGAGCTTCATCATCAGCACATTCATCATCATCATTCACACTTCATCAACATCCACACTTCAACATCATCATATATAATTCACCACAACCACGTACTCCACCAATACCATCATATACTCCACCATCAAGACCACTACCACCACCAATCCACACGACGGAAGCATGACAAAACTGAATTTCCACCGGCGAGGCTGGCCGCACTCCCCGTTAGCAAGGACGCGACCTGCACTCAGAATCTGTATCTGTAATAGAAGGAATCCGAGAAGCTATAAAGCTCTCTTTTTTTTACAGATGCCGAGTAGGGGGCGAGTCAAAAAGTTACAACAACGAACAATACAAAAACCCTGAGCCCCCCCCCCCACCACCTCCAACCCAGCCCCTTGGTTCGTGTTCATCTGTGGAACCCAGTCGTGGGGAGTGGGGGAGTCGCGGCGGGGTGGGTAGGGGGGGGGGCAGCGTCACCTCAAGGTGGCGACGCGAGAGATGGCCGCGGCGATAAAAGTGAAACTCGAGAGGCCGCCGCCAGTGACTTCACCACCAGGGCCGAATTAAAGTTATGAAAACAAAGGAGCTCATTCAGGGCAATGGGTAAATAAATAAATGGCCCCCGTAGAGACGCCCCTTGCCGCTATTGGGGTGCGAGATTGGTCCATTGACAAGTCGTCCATTCATTCATCATTCGCTCACGAATTTCACGAACATATTCATTAAATCAACCCCTCGAATCGCCACGCATCGTTCACTCCTCACTCACGGATTGGCTCACTCTCTCACAATCATGAATTCGCTCCCTCCCTCCAGCCAGCAAAACTTTTTTGTTTAAATAAATATATAACCTTCACCGCGCGGCCAAATGATGGCTGATGACTCCTTCCATCGCGGTCACCTCCCACCTCCCGCAGCCATGCAGCTCGACTCCGGCTCCGGCTTGCGGGGCGCCTCGTTCCTGCTGGGCGTCGCCCTGGCCTGCTGCTGCTGCTGCTGCCGCTGCTGCAGCTGCTCGGCCGTGCCGGGCGTCGTGGCGGGCGCCTTGCAGCAGCAGCAACAGGGCGCGGCGACCCGCACACTGCGCCTCGACTCGTTCGTGGGCTGCGCCGTGCGGGAGTTCACGTTCGTGGCGCGCAAACCCGGCTGCCGCGGCGCGCGTGTCACCACGGACGCGTGCTGGGGCCGCTGCCAGACATGGGAGGTGAGCAAGGGGGCAGCTGTGTGTGCGGAGGGGCAGCTGTGTGTGTGTGTGAGAGGGGCAGCTGTGTGTGTGTAGAGGGGCAGCCGGGGAGCGGTAGTGTAGCGGTTAGCGCTACGCTGCGCTATGAACCTGGCGACCCGGGTTCGATTTCCGCTCACGGCCAACACCAGTGACGATTATCTGAACCGGTCCTGGACCTCCACTAGGTCGACTCAGCCTCAAATGAGTACCTGGTGCGGTGGATAAAAACATCGCCACTGGGGAGACAAAGGCGGTCAGGGCGTGGTGCTGGCCACCCACCCCCTCGTGTACCGTTCCGGCCTTCATAGGTGCTCACTAACAGCACTTGCCCCTACACTCTGTTAAGACTATACGGGGGATCTTTGTCTTTTTTATCTTTGTGGAAGGGCAGCTGTGTGTGTGTGTGGAGGGGCAGCTGTGTGTGTGTGTGGAGGGGCAGCTGTGTGTGGAAGGGCAGCTGTGTGTCTGGAGGGGCAGCTAACTGTGTGTGTGTGGAGGGGCACCTGTGCGTGTGTGTGTGGAGGGGCAGCTGTGTGTGGAAGGGCAGCTGTGTGTGTGTGTGGAGGGGCGGCTGTGTGTGTGAAGGAGCGGTTGTGTGCGTATGCGTAAGGGCAGCTGTGTGTGCGAAGCGGCAGCTGTGTGTGTGTGTGGAGGGGCGGCTGTGTGTGTGAAGGAGCGGTTGTGTGCGTATGCGTAAGGGCAGCTGTGTGTGCGAAGCGGCAGCTGTGTGTGTGTGTGGAGGGGCAGATGTGTGTGTGTGTAGGGACAGTTGTGTGTGAAAAGGCAGCTGTGTGTGTAGAGCGGTAGTGTAGCGGTTAGCGCGCTGCTTTACGAACCTAGAGACCCTGGTTCGATTCCCACTCACGGCCCACACCAGTGACGTGATACGGACTGGCCCTTGGCCTCCTCCCGGTCAACTCAGCTTCAAATGAGTATCTGGTGCGATGTGTAAGGAGACAAAGGCAGCCGGGCGTGGTGTTGGCCACCCACCCACTCGTGTGCCGTGCAGGCCTTCATAGGTGCTACTCGCTAACAGAATTTGTCCCAACAGTGTGTTTAGTCCAGTTGTTCTTAACCTTCACTGCAGCCTTTGCACACCTTTGGTTCTCAATCGTAACTTTTTAAAATAGAAATACAGAGGGGTTTCATGAAACAAAATACTTGGACTTACGTGCCCGTGCTAAATTTGCCTCGCACCCCCAGGGGGAGCGTGCACCGCAGGTTCTGAAACCACTGTTTAGGCTACACGGGGGATTTTTGCCTTCGCTGTGTGTATAGCGACGGGGTTCATAGCGCCGTGCAGTAACCGCTGCCCCACACCACTGAGCGACGCAGATAATAGGTCCCTGCAGGGTGGGCTGGTAGGAACATTGGAATTTTGCGCAATTTTATGACATTGTTACTTCCAAATGTTGGATGCAATAAGACATATCAAGTCTCTGCGCTGTCTATTGCTGATTTTACACCCAACAGCACGAGATTTCACTTCGTTAAAGTATTGAAAGGGGACGGACGGACGGACACATTAATCTATTGCAGGCTGGTACACTCAGTTTACAACTTCGTTCCTACCAGTATAATGCACTCCGTCTATACCGGCCGCGCGGCGGTGGCTATGCACGCTGCAATTCGGCGCTGTGGAGGCAGCAGCAGCAGCGAGCAGTTGGTGGATCACAGCATACGCGTTGGACTCCCACCCAGTCTGTCCATACGGGGTTTGAGAGTTGCTCCCCTGGAGCAGCCTCGGGGTTTCTTCTGAAGCTTTGGTTACCTCAACCACGTGTAAATACTCATTGAGAGGCGGCAAACATATGAGTGCATAGGTGACAGCAGAGCTTCGGTAGTTGTTGATATCGCCGATTCACCGCGTGGCTGCTGCGGCTTTCCCTCTCGTCTGTGGCTCATCCTCGCCTCCCCCTCTCTCTCTCGCGATTTACGAGAAGCGAGCGGATACCGTGCGGTTGGGCAGCGCTATTACTCTGATCGCTATAACCGCGGCAGAAGAGAATGGACGAATGGGCGAGGAGTGAACGCGAACAGCTTTCCCAGACACCCGCGGTCTGCGCGAATCCTGCTAGAGCACAAACAAACGGTGCATTGAGATGGAAAAGTTGGCGAACATATTTCAATAATTCACGGCAAGATCCCAGAGACGAAATGAGAACACGAAGGGGAGATGTCCCGCATCCTTTGTAGATGGTTGGCTCACGAGTGCGCACAATACGATCGTACGCGATGGTGTCTAGAGGGTGGAGGTGATGGAAATTGCCCGAGCGGTGTGGGATACACATCACGTAACACGCTCCGCAAAATCTTTGATCGCACCGCGGCCAATGTAACCAACCCCGACTCCGCTGCAGGCTGCAGGCGCAACCTGTTTCACCCCCCTCCCTCCCTCCTCATCACAGCCCCCCCTTTCCCCACCACCAACCCTCACCAGTCCCCTCCGGCGCAGTTACACCGCCTGCACACGCGATGGCTACGCCACTGCGACCAGTTTTTAAGTTTCATTTTCACCAACGTTGAATGCGAATTAATTGGATTGCGTCCGGAGAAACAATTAAGATAACAACGCCATCGGGCATTGACATCAAAATGTTGTCGACTGTGCAGGGAGCTGGCACGGCGGAGCAATGGTGACCACACTGAAATTGACATCCAGAGGTGCGCCGGTTCGATTCCAAGACCCGGCGCGCCATTTGTAATCAAGGGGGAAAGCGTCTCAAATTCACCCGCCTATGTTCACGCAGAAGTATGAATGGGTGCGACCTCGGTTAGTCGATGAGCAGGTGGAGTGTGGTGGGGTAAAGCGTGCGTGCTCCCACCTCATCAAAATCGTCTGGCAAAGCGTGGAAGCGTAGACAAAGCTACTCTCGAGTGGGGCCCTCTGTAGCTCTCTCTCTCTCGTGGGGAAACTCTTCCGCCAGCAGTGGCTGGTGGAAAACAGTTGTAGGGCTGCACTTTTACCTGCACCACCGCGATGCGAGCCGGCGGTGCGGCCCTGGCAGATGCCGCCGCCACAGCTCGCGGCAATTGCGGCCGTTAACGAAGGGGAGTGGAACACACGGCCCAGGGATCAACACGGCAGTGACACACACGCCGTGTCCACAGCACGCGGATCCAGAACAACAAACTGTGTGTGCAGGCTCATGCACATGGGAAGTTCAATCCGCAATAAAGACGAAAAATCCTCAATTCGCTCGCCCCTGTCTACCTCTCCATTCTCATCTCACTCTACTCCACTCTCGTCGCACGCTATTCCCCTCCACTCACTCTCCTACCTCTCCCCTCTCGTCTCACCTATTCCCCTCCACTCACTCTCCTACCTCTCCCCTCTCGTCTCACCTACTCCCCTCCACTCACTCTCCTACCTCTCCCCTCTCGTCCCACCTACTCCCCTCCACTCACTCTCCTACCTCTCCCCTCTCGTCCCACCTACTCCCCTCCACTCACTCTCCTGCCTCTCCCCTCTCGTCTCACCTACTCCCCTCCACTCAGTCTCCTACCTCTCCCCTCTCGTCCCACCTACTCCCCTCCCCTCACTCTCCTGCCTCTCCCCTCTCGTCCGACCTACTCTCCTCCACTCACTCTCCTACCTCTCGTCCGACCTACTCCCTCCACTCGCTATGCTTCCTCTCGTCTCACCCTACTCCTCTCCATCAACCAAGGCTTTCCGTTGTAGCCTCTAGTCAACCGTAGCTCAGTGGGAGGTCGCTCGTTCTCCTCGGCTGCCCCCCGCGATGTGGAACTCCCTTCCCGCAGCCGTCCGTGCTGTCGACTCCCTGCCCCCCATTCAAGTTCAGGCTCAAAACCTTTTTATACCTATGCCTGTGACTGAACCTATTTCGCCTATTCACAGCCGTGAATAGGCGAAATAGGCACATGTCAAATGTGGTTGCATTGTGGACGCTGTATAAATCCACGTCGTATTGTGTCACGGTAGAAGTGAGAGTGAGATCAGGCAAAGAATCGCGGGAGCAGATTTAACAGATTATGGGATAGGTTGTATCAACGAGGTGACGTGAATCTGGGAATACATCTGAGAGACCCCAGTGCTTCAGTAATCCCAGTGATGCATAGCAGGAAACCAAGGGGATTTAGAGCGCCCAGCGAGAACCGGTCTCGATATTACTCGCGAAAATAAATCGTTCCCATGAAAACCTCGAATTACAGTGACAAATTGGAATTCCCCTCCCCCCTCCCACCACCGCCCTCCTTCACGGCCTCGTTTGCAAACTTCGTGCCCGCTTACTCGCTTCAATAAACGCGTTAATAGACTCGTATCTATTGCAACTTCACCCGTGCTGGTGGTTGCTGGCCGCTTGGCGCTTTAACACCACCTATTTCGCCCCGCGCGTTTCCAATTCGTCGCGATGGCTTAGAGCCTTAGATTGTCCGAAACAATGAACTCAAATCATCTCATTAGCGAGGCCTGCCCAGCAGGGGGCAGCCTGAGATAGCGCCGGCAAGGCCGGCGCTGAACTGACGAGGAATGATGATGACGATACTCTTTGGTTCTATTCGGTAAAGTCACGTATGTAAAAATAAAATAACAAAAAATCACGACGTTTCGGCCACAACAGTCCTCTGTCCTCTGGACAGTCCAGTCCCTTCACCTGATGAAGGCCACTTGTGTTGTGGCCGAAACGTCGTGATTTTTTGTTATTTTATTTTTACCTACGTGACTTTACCGAATAGAACCAAAGAGTATGGATCCTTGCAGTCACGAAAGCTTCAAATCTAGAAAAGATGATGACGATGTTTAGCTCGCGAGACACCTAAACATCGTGTGCGTTGCTGGTAGTTGTCTGCGTGCCATGTCCGCGTGTCCCGCGTGTCCCTTGCGTCCCATGGCCGTGCGCTCCCCTATCCCATATGTCTCCCGTGTGCACCATGTCCCGTGTGTCCCGTGTCCCTTTAAGTCCCGTGTGTCTCGTGTCCCTTTAAGTTCCGTGTGCCCCTTGCGTCCCTTGCCCACTGCCCCGTGGCCCTCACGCCCCCCCCCGCCTCCTCCCCCCGCCCTGCCCCGCCCCCCATCACGTGTGTCCCGCAGAAGCCGACGCTGGAGCCCCCGCACGTGGAGGCGCACCACCGCGTGTGCTCCTACAACGAGACGCGCGCGGGCAGCGTGCGCCTCCCGGGCTGCGCGCCCCACGTGGACCCCGTGTTCAGCTTCCCAGTGGCGCTCAGCTGCGTCTGCAAGATGTGCTCCACGGACGACACCGAGTGCGAGACCTACTGACGCTGCCGCTGGCGCCGCGACGCGGTGGCAATCCACTGCTGGACGAGGGCCCTCCCCGGCGCCGTGCGTCTCTAATCGTCGCGGGGGGTTGCCCGTGACGGCGGCCAGACGTGGGAGCGTAGAATCGCAGTACAACAATGGATTTTTTTTGTTGTTGTTGTTGCTGCAACTGACTTTTTGCTGCCGGCAACATAGCCCCGTGGTCGCCTGTGACTACCGTGTGTTGCGCACGGTGGACACCCAGCCAAGTATCACCCCGGCTCAACGCCTGCTTAGCTTCCGGGATCTGACGAGATGGGGTGCATTGCGAGTGAGCAGGTCAGGGGTCATCACTCGCCAAAGCCCTTGGTGGACCCGTGGGAGCCTCATCTTGTCTCAAAACTCTTTCTTATCGGAATGGTCCTGCTACATTTGGATGTTTTGTCAATTCCATCCTTAACGAGAGTTCGACATCGCGTGGCGAGGACACCTATATATATAGGTCCGCACAGATGCATTCTAGAACGTATCGCTATACAGACATCTCCAGGCCGCCTCGCAGGCCAAGCCTGCAACGCCTGTTATTCCCAAGCATGCTCCCAGCCCAGGACTAATCCGGCTAACCACGCGAGATCTCGCGAGGTCGGGGCGCACGAAGAGCGATTTGGTCGCGCAGGGGAGCTGGGACTGACACGGCAATGGGGCGCCGGCGAGGGTCCACGCGGACCGAAGAAGCGTGCGTGGGAATCTATGAGCCGAAACGCCGGGACGTGCTGCGCTCGACGGGAGATGGTTGCAGAGAGACGGGCGAGAGAGAGAGAGCGCGCGAGAGCGATGGGAGAGCGCGCGACATGGGACGAGAGGGCGATGAGCGAGACACGGAGGATATAAATTATTGGCGACGCGTTAACGAGAGGAGCCACTCTCGATCACCCCCCCCCCCCCCCCGCCCTCTCCCCTACGACGCCTCCTACTCCACGAACGCCCCCCCCCCCCCCCCACCCATCGGGGGGTACGGGACTGAACGAGCGAGGATGCTCAAAGCCAGGTAGGCGGCAAGGTGAGGTCACCCGAGATCAGCCGGTCAGGGTCAAGGTCAACCAGTCACGGTCAACTGCCCAAAGTTGACACCTGGGACCAAAACGGATTCCCGTATTGTTTTGGAGTTAAATAAATGAAGTAGCAATCATAATTATAATAAAATACCGCCCTCTGTCCATCCACTGCTGAGTGAAGGCCTACCGCACGTCGTCTCGATCGCAGAGGTTGTACGGCCATACTTCACCCGCGCTGGTCAGTGCGGGTTTCACGAATGGAGGGGGCCCAGGACAGGTTCGGATAAACCAGTTCGACGCTGGTACTGTCACTGTAGCCGGAAACCAAACGCGGTGTGACGGATTTGCGGTGCAGCGCGCTCACCGCCGCGCCCCCACTCCACAACGAGAGGGCTTCCGGAGAGAGAGTTCGTGTCGTTTTGCTGTTCCTCATCCTCTTCTGTTGAAGGAGCGCAGACCACAGTGGCTTACTACATGGTCTCTATATAGCTCTATGAGTCGCTGTGTGTCTCTGTCGGCTTACTGTATGGCGCACAGTCGGGGCAGCATGGCCAAAGTCGCACTACCGTGGCTTGTGTCCTTTAATTTCCCTTTGATGAATGAGATGTGCGCATCGGCCCGGCGATGTTCTCATGCGGTTGATGGTTGTACACCATCAGCGTCTTCGATGAGGTGGTGGAGTGTGCATTCCTGGAGAAGGGGCGATATTTTCTAAAAATAAGTGAAGCAAATGACTTCACTCGTCATCCTCGCAGGAATGAAATTGTCCTGTTCTCACGATCGCTGCGTGCTAAACACATTCGTCTAAACAAGAGTTTATATTAAAACAAAAAAAGACGCGCAACGATCTTGCGCCGCGTCAGCGTTTCGTGTGTCTTTAAACGTGGTGTCGATATTTCTTCTTCTTCTTCAACCCGATGTGTTGACAAAACCAACAAAACTTTCGCTCGAATGCATTCTCGGTGACGCCGGGGAATCTCTCACTTCGCCGTGGAACTCGGTGACCTCAGTTCGATTCCCTCCCCCAGGGCCGGTTCAACAAAAACAAATAGAGATGCATCAAGTCTGAGTAATCGTGAATAGCCAATGGAGTCTCTCTCGCCCCTATCGGGTCTGCATTTCCCTTCTCTCATCTCACCACATCTCTCTCTCTTGTCTGGTCTGCATCCGTTGTCTAAACTGTATCTCTCGCATCTCACCAGCGCTGTTCCATCTGCATCTCCTTTCTATTAGCTCACAACATCTCCACGTCTTGTCTTGACAATTAAACAAATTAGTTGGCGCTTCTGCGTTGGCAGTGGTGCACACGCACATTTGGCGACGTTTCGGGCAACGGCCCTGGTCCTTGTTCACATCTCTTGTCCATATCTCTTCTCACACCTCACTCGGAGTTTTCAGGGGGTACAGCACCCCAGCCACTCACCCCCCTCCCTCACCCCCCCTCCCTCACCCCCCTCCCTCACCCCCCCTCCCTCACCCCCCTCTCCCCCCTCACCCTCCTCCTTCACCCCCTCCCTCACCCCCCACTGCTGAACAGCACTGACAAAGCTGCACGTGACCGTGCCCCTGTAGGCTGATGTTCCCTCGCCTTGTTTTAAATTGTGATATACTGTACGTAGCATATATATTATATACTGTATGGAGACTATATTAACCCGGATCTTTGTGAAAGTGAGCCCACGTCTGTTTGTACATTTGTTGTTGTTGTTTTAAATAAATGAGTAAAACCAAGATCCCCCGCATAGCCGAAACAGACTGTTGGAGGAATTGCTGTTAGCGAGCGCCTTATTCATGTCGGCACAACACACGAAGGGGTGGGTGGGCCAGCACCACGCCTGGCCGCCTTTGTCTCCCCGGTGCTCATGTCCACACACCGCGCCAGGCACTCGTTTAAAGCTGAGTTGACCTAGGGGGGATGCCTACGACCGGTTCAGATATTCCTCACCGACGTTGGCTGTGAGCGAGAATCGAAGTCGAGTCGCCGGATTCGTAGCTCAATGCGCTAACCACTGCGCCACCGCTCTAATTGAGCGAACACAACCCCGCTTGGGGCGAGTACGGGCGCGGCTAAGACAGCCGGAGAGCGGTGGTGCAGCGGTTAGCGCACCGCACGGGCAAATAACTAACGAGTGTTTACTTCAAATGTGTGATTTGCTGTATGTGCGAGGGGGAAACACTCTATCCCGTACACATGGAACAAGTGGAGTCCACATTATTTCTGTACCGCAAACCGCTTTCTCATCGCGAGCCAGGACACCGCCCCTCCTTGACGCCCACGGGAAGGGAGTTTCACGGCATTCTTGTGATGATCCACCAACCCTGGCTGCCTCAACAGCGCGAGATTGCAGACCACGTGCGTAGCCACCACCGATCGGCTGACGACGATGGTGATGGTCATGATGATGTTGACAGCGGTGATGGTGATGTTGAAAACGACGGTGATGATATTTGAAACGATGAACGTATGGATAGCTTCGCCCCCCGCGAAAGGAAACTTCCTCCACTCGTCGTCATCATAACCTTCTTCGTCATTATCATCATCATCCTCCTCCTCATCACCCCCCTCCTCGGACCCAACAGAGGGGGCAACTGACCCCCCCCCCCCATCTCCCCCGACCCTCCACATCGCCGTCTGCGCCATCGCGATTGGAGTGCGATGCCATTAATTGAAGTAAACACGTGATGAATTAAAGTGGAGTTGATGCTGTGTCTTGAGTTAATATAAGTGAATTCGTGATGAATGAAGGCGTCCAGGCCGCGCGGGATCGAGTCCAGGGTTTGCTGAAACCCCTATTTACCGACGGTCTCGACTGACCCCCGGTCATAAGAATGTGGAATTTCCACCAACGGCTCGGCAGTGCCGCCCTGCGCTTACCGTTGAGCACCGAACCGTTTTGTTTGTGTTCCCTGATTACCTTGATGGTTTATCTTCTAATCCCCTTCCAATTGCGCTCTCGGCGTCGTGCCACGCGATGCAGACTTTGCCGGTCGTAGCCGTCGCGGTTAAGCAGTGCACCACCCTGTGTTGAGGAATATACGGCCCCGGGAAGGTGATGTCTCCATCGGAAGTACTGCACCTGAAGTCCCTTGATTCGGCCCCTTCGTCCACACTCGGGGTGCTGCGCATTTCTAACTCTAACTTATTTTCGTGGAGATAAAAACAAAACAATTATCGCCTCGTTCCTACGGACGTGATCCTGAAGGCGCAATCGGTGTCACCTCAAGGGATGAGCGAATCCATTTGGAACTCTCGCCCAGCAGATGCAGTTGCTGGTTTGCCGCGCGGAGACTGTCGACTCGCCACACTTTGAGATGTCGGTTTAAACCATGACGCGGGTGACACCCGCATTCGAACCCGGGTGCTCAGCTATTCCAGCTGTAGCAATTATTAATCCCCCCCCCCCCCCCCGTGAGGTGCCTGTCCACCACTGCAAGTGAGAAGAGAGCATCGTCCACTGCTTGAGCTAAATATATTTATATAATAATTAATTATTCTTATTTATCCAGGAGAGCCACAGTGAGTCGTAAGACTATTTTTCAGGAGGGTTCAGCGAGAGCGGCGTTTTTATTTGTGAGATCATTTTTCAGGAGGGTCCGGCGAGAGCGGCGTTTTTATTCGTGAGATAATTTTTCAGGAGGGTCCAGCGAGAGCGGCGTGTTTATTCGTGAGATAATTTTTCAGGAGGGTCCGGCGAGAGCGGCGTTTTTATTTATGAGATAATTTTTCAGGAGGGTCCAGCGACAATGGGGTGGGAGGCGGAAAACGGAGCACGCGGAGACACCCCACGCCTTGCTGCGAGGGCACAACGCCCTGTCCTCGTACAGATGGCAACAGATGGCGATTAGTCCACTTAGTGTTCCGCCTCCTGCTGGCGAGCCAGGATACGGCACCTCTTCCACGACGCCCACGGGAAGGGAGTTTCGCAACGTCTTGGTGTGGCAATCCATCACCAACCCTCGCTGCGCTGGAAGATCACAGACCCCGTGCACAACCAGCGGTGTGCTGCGTGACGGAGCGGTGTAGCAAAGGGCCCCACGGCGCCACCACCAACTCTGCCACCCGAGTTCGATTCCCGGCCACGGCAGAGATCAGTGGTGCCCCACTCCCCATCACGCCCACGCCGGCACCAACCTCTAATGCCCCCCCCCCCACCACTTCCCCCCACCTCCTCCTGCCTTCACCACCGCTCAGGAAGTAGCGTGGGCAGGCCTTTCTTTATTCAGATGTGTATTGACAAGGGCTATAAATTGTATTGTGTCGTTAATCTAGACCAAATACAGATTAAATAAACGGTGAATAAATAAATAGTTCGCGAATCCAGCGGATTACAGAGGCACTGCTGTCCGTGCCCTCGGCTGAGGCCACTTAGAGAGAGTGCCCGCGTGGTCATCCCACACCCACACACCTCATCCACAGCCCACACCTCATTCACAGAGCCACACCTCCTCCACAGACCCACGCTGCCTCCACAGAGTCACACCTGCACCACAAACCCACACCTCCTCAACAGGCACACCTCCTTACAGAGTCACGCACCTCCTCCACAGAGCCAAACACCTCCTCCACAGAGCCACACACCTCCTTACACAGACTTACGCCTTGCACCCCCCCGTACACCTCCGTTACCAACCCCAAGACTCATCCCGAACCTTCTCCAACCCCTCCCCCACTCCTCCTCCACCCTCCACGCCATCCCCTCCCCCCTGACGCTCCCTGTCAAATTATTCTCCCGGCCTCACGCAGGCGAGCAGCTGTCAAGCCCCGTGCTTCTGCACGTGTGCGGTAGTGCAGCTGCACGCGTGCAGGCGTCGTGCAGCAGTGAGGCGGTGCAACCATTTGTTCGTGCAGCTGCGCAGGTCGTGCCTCGAGTGCAAGCGAGCAGCAATAGTGCAGCCATGCAGGACTGCAGGATTCCCATTCGCATGGTGCTCGAATGTGAAACCCTGCGTCGGTGCTGAAAGGCAATCGTGCAACAATGCAACAGTGTAGGAAGTGCAGCTCCGCATTATTGCAACCGGACGACATCGCAACGGCGCAGCAGGGTTGCTATTGGCACGGTTTGGCTACGTACGGTGCGATAAAAGTTCAACACGCATGGGCAGTAGCGTAGCCGTGCATTAGCGGCGCTCTTCCTTCGTACATCAGTCAAGCATCTCTGTAGCGACGCAGTGCAGCCGTGCAGCTGTGCACCATTGCATCTTCTGCGCCCGTGCACCGGTGTGTATGTTGCATTCTTATAGATTATCCAGTAGTGCAGCAGTGTAGTTACACAACACCCCGCAGCCGTGCTGCGCTAGTGCAACAGTGCACCAGCAGTGCGGCCTTATAGCCCTCACGATGGGAGAGCAGCGCAGCAGTGCAGACGCGCGGTCCCGAGAGAGTCGCGCACAGCAGCCTCGATCCGTTCCTTGTCCCCCCCCCCCCCACCTCTTCCACAGCCCACCCCCCTTTCCACAGCCCCCCACCCGGCTAGCCCCCACCCCACCCCTCTTCTACCCCCCCCACTCCCTCCCGGCCACCCCCCCCCCTGCCCCTCCCCTCTCGCCTCCATCATCTCGGGAGCTCGGATCTCGTGCAGGGGCCGTGGGACGCGGGTGGCGGGGAGTTGGAGGTGCCGGGGTTTCGAGGGTCTGAGAGGGGGGGTGGAGCGCGTAAGACGATGAGTGGCATGGGGATGGTTACCGAGGTGAACAAAAAGATGGGAGGGAAGATGACGAGGTGATGAGGTGAGAGGATGGGGGAGGTAAGGAGTGGTAGGGGAGGTGAGTGAACTGGGTGGCAGGTGAGAGGATGAGGAGGTGAGGGGAAGAGGAAGGCGAGGGGGTGGCAGTGGAGATGGGGTAAGGATGGGAGGGAGACGCTTCTCCCTCCCATCCAATCTCATCGCGCTCCTCTCATAGCGCGCACGCCGGATATAATCACTCCCATCGCCGCGCTCCATCCAATTACGAGAGACAACCGCGCGCGGCCGGGGCTCTCCACCCCGAGACGCGACCCTCAACCGCCGTCTCGCGGGAGACGTCCGCGGGCGGTCCCTACCGGGGGAGTGTGGGGGGAGGTGCTGCGGAATCGTTGGCGTCAGTCGCAGTTGGTGATTGGGGTGGGTTGGGGGGTTCGGCTCGGGCTTCCGTGGTCTCCTCCGCACGCGGCCCGGGATGCTCGCCTCGCCGCACGCCGAGACCCGCGTCCTCGCAGCGCAGCCCCGCCAGCCCCACCAGCCCCGCCAGCCCCACCAGCCCTGCCAGCCCCGCCAGCCCCACCAGCCCCGCCAGCCCCGCCAGCCCCGCCAGCCCCGCCAGCACCGCCGTCGCCACCGCCGCCGCCGTCTCCCTGCCACCCCCGCAGGATGCCCGGGGGGCGCAAGGGTCTCGTAGCCCCCCAGAACACCTTCCTCGACAGCATCGTGCGCCGCTTCAGCGGTAACTCGCTCGTTCGCGCTGTGGGGGAGGGGGTCCCCAGCGGGGATCTCAGAGGCGTCTCTATCTGTGCGCGCTACCCCCCCCCCCCCGCCACCATCACTAACTTATTGTGGGCCCCTCAACACACATTGTGTTGATGTACGCTCCTCTTTGTCCCTGTCCTCGAGTCCGTCTCTATGTCTCGACCTGCGAATGCCTCTCGTCGCGTCTCTCTCTCTGCATCTCTGATCCTCTGAGTATCTTTAACGGTGCCCCTATTCTCGTCTCCCTCGCTGAGTGTGGGTGCTGTCTTGCCGGTGTCTCTCCGCGGGTGGCTGTATTGATCTGTGTGTCTGTGTCTCTATGTGAGTGTGTGTGTCTCTCTCTTAGTGTGGGGAGCGGTAGTGTCGCTCTTAGCGCTACGCTGCACTACGAACCTGACGACCCGGGTTCGATTCCCACTCGCGGGCCAACACCAGTGACAGCGATTATCTGAACCGCTCCTGGGCCGCCCTTTGTCGACTCAGCCTCAATTGAGTACCTGGTGCGATGTGTAAACATCACCACTAGAGAGACAAAGGCGGCGGGCGAGGTGTTGGCCACCCACCCCCTCGTGTGCCGTGCCGGCCTTCATAGGTGCTCGCAAACAGCACTTTCCCCTACAGTCTGTCAAGGCTATACGGGGGATCTGTGTCTTTGTCTCTCTTAGTCCCCGTGCAACCCGCTGTGTCTTTTGCCTCTTCCTATCTATCTCTGAGTCCCTGACTGGGTACACATCTCCGTGTTGTGTATGTAAGTAGAACTTCTTTCGCACCGTACGGAGCCAACCATGCGCATCGTCTATCAGTCTGTGTCTCTGTGTTTCTCCGTGTCGCTCTCATTGTCTGTGTGTGTGCGTGTCTCTCTGTCTGTGTCACCGTCTCGCTCTTCCGTTCTCCGCACCGCGCCACAGCTATCACAGCAACTCGCGCAGCGCTCACGGGCGCTCGACCGACCGCCTTTGTCTTCCCTCCCCTCCCCCCCCACTAATGGCATTCACCACTCCGCCACCAGGCACTAAATTTAATGCCGAGGCGACCTAGGCAATCGAGCTCAGGTAGCCGGGGTTCGTAGCGTTGTGCGCGAACCACTACGCCACTGCTCCCGACCCACGCTACGCACACGCATGTACACATATATATGTGTCGTTCCCTCCCCTTCACAGACACTGACCTCCTCTTGGGCAATGCCCGCATTGTGGACTGGCCGATCGTTTACTGCAACGCGGGGTTCTGTGGCCTCTCCGGATTCCAGCGCGCAGAGGTCATGCAGTGCAACAGCACATGCAGGTGCTCACTCACTCGCCCCCATCCCCCAACCTTCATCCAAACCACCCCTTCCTCCGTCCCCCAAATCAGTTCTACTTAACAGGGAATGTTGTTTGCGATGTTGGCGAAAATTCCGAATGATCTGGAAAAATCTGAGCTTGGTAAAAATAAATCATTTGCAGCGTCGCGATCGTCGGCACGGAGGCGCGCGCGTGAGATCGTCACTCGCCGTGGCTGAAACTCCCAGTGAGCAACTAACTAGACGACCAAATAAACATGCGATGCACACGTTAAAACATCAATGCGGTACATATGCAGGGATGTACGCGTCTTGCTCTGCGTTGTCGCAATAACACGCCGCATGCGGACATAAAGGGTAGGCAGATGAACGAATGAATATATCGCTAGATGTATTTATGGATATATGAGCAGATAGAGTGATGAGTGCCGAAGTTGAGCAGCACGGGGTTTGGAAGAAGACGAGAATGGTAATGAGCTCCAGAGTTTAGCAACCCTCTAAACCGAACCCCTTCCCTCCCCCCCTCCCCACCCCAGCTTTATGTATGGCGACCTAACGGACCGGGGCACCATCGAGAGCGTGAGGAGGTCGTTCGAGAATCACGAGACCAACTCGTTCGAGATCCTCATGTACCGCAAGAACCGTGGGTGCCGCGGGGATGAGTCCCCCCCAGCTCCCCTCCTCCAGATCCCCTCCTGCCCTCCCCGCTTGCTCCAGCTCACCTCTACCCCTCCTCCTCCCCTCTCCCCTTGCTCCAGCTCCCCTCTACCCCTCCTCCTCCCCTCTCCTCCTCCTCTAGCTCCTCACCTCCTACTCCTCTCCCCTCTTGCTCCAACTCCTCACCTCCTCCCCTCTCCCCTTCCTTCAACTCCCGTCCTCCTCCCCCCCCCTTCCTCCTCCAGCTCCTCACCTCCTCCCCTCTCCCCTTCCTCCAACTCCCGACTTCCTCCCCCCCCCCCTCCTCCTCCTCCAGCTCCTCACCTCCTTCGCGTCTCATTCACTCGTCTCCACCAAAACCCATGGCCGCACGTGGCCCCAAGGAGGCCTTGGGCTGCAAATAGCTTAGAGCCGAAAGGGCATGGGCCAAGAAGACTGGCTTGTGAACATGTGTAGTATATATTCTTTGGGTCTTTCGGTAGTCACAGAAATAGGTTAAAATTAATCAACGTAAAATAAACAAAAAACTACAACTATCACAACACAAGCGATCGTCATCAAGAGGAAAACAGAGGGGGAAGCTGCTAAAAGCAGACTGTTTTAAAAAACAGTCGTAGTTTTTATTTTTATGAATTTGAACCCATCTACGTGACTTTACCGAAAGACCCAAAGAATATAAATTCCTGCAGTCACGAAAGCTTTAAGTCAAGATTTATGCTTAGTATATATTGTGTGTGTACGTATCTTGGTTGTGGGGAGCGATAGTGTAGCGGTTAGCGCGCTGCGCTATGAACCTGGCGACCCGGGTTCGATTCCCGCTCACGGTCAACACTGGTGACGATTATCTGAACCGGTCCCGGGCCTCCCCTAGGTCGACTCAGCCTCAAATGAGTACCTGGTGTGGTGTGTAAACATTGCCACTTGGGAGACAAAGGCGGTCGGTCGTGGTGCTGGCCACCCACCCCCTCGTGTACCGTTCCGGCCTTCATAGGTGCTCGCTAACAGCAGTTGCCCCTACAGTCTGTTAAGGCTATATGGGGGATCTTTGTTTTTGTATCTTGGTTGACCTCCACAGGTGCTTGCTAACAGCACTTTGCCCAGCAGTCTGTGTCGCCTACACAGAGATCTTTGGCTCTGTACGTGCTATATAAATATTTTATAAGGCAGATATGACGTATAGCAAGGATCTCGCTGGAGAAGGTCCATGGGTCGGTAACCCTTCCCACGCGCTGCTCGAGTATCAGCAGCAACACGAATTCACCTTCGCACTCCATGCATCCCCAGGCACACACAGGAACACAACAGGCACACAGGCGAACACAACATGCACCACACAGGCGAACACAACAGACACCACACGCGCGTTACGGAAACACACGGAGACTTAAAACTGAGCCGTGATACTCGGTCAGGCTTTTCCGGTTCGGCACGTTAACCTAATCGTATTCCTAAATGAGCTACGCAACGATACGTCGATTTAAAAAAAAAAAGTCGATGCTGACGTTCGCAATTCCCCGTATGGAATCGTGGCTGTGCGAAACGTGAGTGGGAGAGAAGGGGGGGGGGGGTGCCACCGTGGGAGCCGCCGTGGGAGTCACGGGTCCCGACCTGAGATTGTAGTCGTGGGGGGACGCTCTGGTGGGGGCTCTCTGAAGCCCTTTGTTGGGTCTGCTGCGCCTTCTAAAAACGTAGCGAATCATTAAATAATATGTGGTAGAGGACAGGCGCGAGAGGGAGTTACTCCCCGCGAGCACCCAATCCACACTCCCTCCCTCCCCTCTACCTCCCCCCGTTCTCCCCCCCTGCAGGCACTCCAGTGTGGCTCCACATGCAAGTGTCTCCGGTGCGTAACGAGTTGAACGAGGTGGTGCTCTTCTTGAGCATCTTCCGGGACATCACCATCTTCAAGCAGCCCATAGAGGATGACAGCAGGGGTAAGGTATACCCCCCCCCCCACGTCCTCCATCACGCCGCAAGACACACGCACCTACAACTCCCCGTGCAACCCCACGATCCTGATCCAGCCCAAAAGGTGCCTGGGCTATTCCAGGCCACGGGTGACCCGAATGAATGGGTGCTCATTCATCATCGCCATCACGACGAGCGAGCGGTGACGTGACGGGTGACGTACAAAGAGGTGGCGGTGATGACACGGATTTCGCGATGTGTCAGTTTAACACGCAGGCTTTCGCGACCAATAGTATTAATAAGATCGCGTAAATACAAATGTGTCGTAACCCTCCACCACCCGACACAACCAATTAATAAGGGAATTGTCACGTAAACAAAACGCCACTTAGTTGCGATGTGTGATGCACGACATAACCGAGCGATGCGATGTGAAGCCGGGGAGGCAGGGGGCGGGGGGGAGGGAGTAACGCGCTGCCTGATGCGATGACAGCGATGGGATGTGCGTGAACGCGACGGTGTGCGTCGCGTTATCGTCCCAGGGTGGGCCCGCTTTGCCCGCCTCACCCGGGCCCTCGCCACGAGCCGGAGCGTCCTGCACCAGCTCAGCACCAGCGGGGCGCGCGGGGAGGCGGCGGGAGCCAAGGGACTCCGCACGGCCGAGGTGGGAGCCTCGGCCGCCTCCCGGGTCGGCACGAGGGCCGGCGAGTCGCTGTCCCTTTCAGCACCACAGTAGTCGTTCGTCCCACTAGCCGAATTCTCTGCAACGTAACATCCACCGGACTCAGAGCGGTCACAGTGCCGCCATGGAATGACACCATTTTGAAAAACTAGAGTTTGCGTGTTTGTGCGTAAACCACCGATATATACACGTGGGGTGATGTAAGTGAGAAGGCGCTTGGGGGAGTTTGTAAGTCGCGGCTATGCACCACCGCAGCTGCCCGTGCACGTGGGTGGTTTCGCGCGCATTTAATTCGGCTCCGGTCCGTCCGCGTGGTCATCGGTCACGACGTGCCACGGTTCCCCTGCTCTCCAGTGCGCACAAGGCGAGTGTCTAAATGAGAGTCTTGCTTTACTAAGTAGGAATTTGTGTCTGTCTGTCTGTCTGTCCATCCAGCCGTTCGTACATCTGCACGTGTGTCTACCTGGCTGTCCGTCTCTCAGTGTATCTACCTGTTTATTCGTCCGTCTTTTCACCCGTCTATCCATCCATCCGTCCGTCTGTCTATGTGTCCGATCGTCTGTCTCTGTCCATCCGTCTGCCTGTCCTTCTGCTTAACTGTTCTTTCCATCTATCTTTATAACCGTCACCACTTCTGTTATCCACCTGCTATTGTTCGCCCACCACCTCTCCGCCTACCGCACGCAGGTCGTCCAGCTGAACACCGAAGTGCTCCCCGCCTACAAGCAGGAGGCTCCCAAGACCCCTCGGAACATCATCCTCCACTACTGCGCCTTCAAGACCACGTGGGACTGGCTCATCCTCATCCTCACCTTCTACACGGCTATCATGGTGCCCTATAACGTCTCCTTCCGCACGCGGCAGAGCAACGTGGCGTGGCTCGTGGTGGACAGCGTGGTGGACGCGATCTTCCTGGTGGACATTGTGCTCAACTTCCACACGACCTACGTGGGCTCCGCCGGCGAGGTCATCTCGGACCCGGCACTCATTCGGACAAAGTATCTCAAGACGTGGTTCCTCATCGACCTGCTCTCCTGCCTGCCCTACGACATCATCAACGCCTTCGAGAACGCCGACGAGGTAGTCTATCGCAAATGACGAGGTGGCCTGGAGCGCATGACAAGGTGGTCTGGAGCGCATGACGAGGTGGTCTGTAGCGCATGACAAGGTGGTCTGGAGCGCATGACGAGGTGGCCTGGAGCGCATTACGAGGTGGCCTGTAGCGCATGACGAGGTGGTCTGTAGCGCATGACAAGGTGGTCTGGAGCGCATGACGAGGTGGTCTGGAGCGCATGACGAGGTGGCCTGTAGCGCATGACGAGGTGGTCTGTAGCGCATGACGAGGTAGACATCAATACACAGTACAGCTCGGCCACCAATGGATTCTTGACTCCCGCCTGTGCGCAGATCCCGCCTCACAAAGGTGGTGAGGTTTGTTTGTTTCTTCTTCTTCCCGATACTCATCAATAGCCATGTCCTCCCGCATCCCGTCTCCTCCCATGACACCACTGCAGCCTCCACTCACCATCACCTCCTCTCACAGTCGTCGTCGGTGGACCAAGCGGCAGCGCGCTCGCTGCACGTCGCGGAGGCTTTCGCGGTGTTTGTCTTCTGCTCAGGGCATCAGCAGCCTCTTCAGCGCGCTCAAGGTGGTGCGGCTGCTGCGCTTGGGCCGCGTGGCGCGCAAGCTCGACCACTACATCGAGTACGGCGCCGCCGTCCTCGTGCTGCTCGTGTGCGTGTTCGGCCTCGTCGCGCACTGGCTCGCCTGCATCTGGTTCAGCATCGGGGACGCGGAGGCGGCGCGCGAGTACGGGTGGCTGCACCAGCTGGCGCACAGCGTCGGGCAGCCGTATCGTTACAGCCACGCCAACGGGAGCGTCGCCGACGCCGACGCCGCCGCCGACGCCGCCGCCGCTGCGACGACCACCTCCGCCTCCCCGGCTGACACCTCCATCACCAGCCCCGCGGGTGTGATGGAGGGCGACGGCGGTGGGCGCTGGGAGGGCGGCCCTTCCCGGCGCACGCTGTACGTGTCGGCCCTGTACTTCACGATGAGCAGCCTCACGAGCGTGGGGTTCGGCAACATAGCGCCCAACACGGACGCCGAGAAGATGTTCGCTGTGGCCATGATGATGATCGGATGTGAGTGATGCCCGTGGAGCGCAGCAGCGTCATCTCCTGCGGTCGGCGGTGTGGGTGGTGTTGTGCGCGCGTAAACGTCAGAACTGGAGAGACAAAGGCGGTCGGGCGTGGTGTTGGCCACGCACCCCCTCGTGTGTCGCGCTGGCCTTCATTGGTGCTCGCTAACAGCACTTGCCCCAGCAGCTGTTGAAGGTTATACGGGGGGTCTTTGTCTTTGCTGGGGGAGCGGTGGAACGGTGGTTGGCGCGCTGCGCTAATAATCTGGCGACTCGATTTCGATTCTTGCTACGGTTAACCTCTGAATGAGAACCGGGTCTCCCCTAGGTCGATTTAGCATAGAAATAGTGTCTGGTGCGGTGTGCAAACATCCGCACTGGAGAGACAAATGCGGCCGGGCGTGGTTCTGGCCACGTCACCCCCTACTGCACCTCCCCAACTTTAACGACTGCTCTCTAACAGGACTTGCCCACACAGTCTATATTGTTTTACAGGTAATCTTCGCCAGCGTCTGTGGATGGTTACATGGAATATCTGAGCATTAAATTTCCCTCAATTCATAATTTATATCACCAAAGTGAAGGGGTAAATCACTTAATGTATTTTATGTAACATCCACTGATGCGTGTGGGGTGGGGGTAGATCTGGCACGTGTGTGTGTGTGTTGGGAGGGCTACCGAGTGTTGTGTGTGGGGGGTCGAGTGTGTGTGTGTGTGATGGGAGGGCTACCGAGTGTTGTGTGTGGGGGGTCGAGTGTGTGTGTGTGTGTTGGGAGGGCTACCGAGTGTTGTGTGTGGGGGGTCGAGTGTGTGTGTGATGGGAGGGCTACCGAGTGTTGTGTGTGTGGGGTCGAGTGTGTGTGTGTGTTGGGAGGGCTACCGAGTGTTGTGTGTGGGGCGTCGAGTGTGTGTGTGTGTTGGGAGGGCTACCGAGTGTTGTGTGTGGGGGGTCGAGTGTGTGTGTGTGTGATGGGAGGGCTACCGAGTGTTGTGTGTGGGGGGTCGAGTGTGTGTGTGTGTGTGTTGGGAGGGCTACCGAGTGTTGTGTGTGGGGGGTCGAGTGTGTGTGTGTGTGTTGGGAGGGCTACCGAGTGTTGTGTGTGGGGGGTCGAGTGTGTGTGTGTGTGATGGGAGGGCTACCGAGTGTGTGTGTGTTGAGAGGGCTACCGAGTGTGTGTGTGTGTGTTGAGAGGGCTACCGAGTGTGTGTGTGTGTGATGGGAGGGTTACCGAGTGTGTGTGTGTGTGATGAGAGGGCTACCGAGTGAGTGTGTGTGTGTGTTGAGAGAGCTACCGAGTGTGTGTGTGTGTGTTGAGAGGGCTACCGAGTGTGTGTGTGTGTGTGTTGAGAGGGCTACCGAGTGTGTGTGTGTGATGGGAGGGCTACCGAGTGTGTGTGTGTGTGTTGAGAGGGCTACCGAGTGTGTGTGTGTGTTGAGAGGGCTACCGAGTGTGTGTGTGTGATGGGAGGGCTACCGAGTGTGTGTGTGTGTTGAGAGGGCTACCGAGTGTGTGTGTGTGTGTTGAGAGGGCTACCGAGTGTGTGTGTGTGTGTGATGGGAGGGCTACCGAGTGTGTGTGTGTGTTGAGAGGGCTACCGAGTGTGTGTGTGTGTGTTGGGAGGGCTACCGAGTGTTGAGTGTGTGTGTGTGTTGAGAGGGCTACCGAGTGTGTGTGTGTGTGTTGGGAGGGCTACCGAGTGTGTGTGTGTGTGTTGGGAGGGCTACCGAGTGTTGAGTGTGTGTGATGGGAGGGCTACCGAGTGTGTGTGTGTGTGTGTTGAGAGGGCTACCGAGTGTGTGTGTGTTGAGAGGGCTACCGAGTGTGTGTGTGTGATGGGAGGGCTACCGAGTGTGTGTGTGTGTGTGTTGAGAGGGCTACCGAGTGTGTGTGTGTGTGTTGAGAGGGCTACCGAGTGTGTGTGTGTGTGTTGGGAGGGCTACCGAGTGAGTGTGTGTGTGTTGAGAGGGCTACCGAGTGTGTGTGTGTGTGTGTTGGGAGGGCTACCGAGTGTGTGTGTGTGTGTGTTGAGAGGGCTACCGAGTGTGTGTTGGGAGGGCTACCGAGTGTTGTGTGTGGGGGGTCGAGTGTGTGTGTGTGTGATGGGAGGGCAACCGAGTGTGTGTGTGTTGAGAGGGCTACCGAGTGTGTGTGTGTGTGTTGAGAGGGCTACCGAGTGTGTGTGTGATGGGAGGGTTACCGAGTGTGTGTGTGTGTGTTGAGAGGGCTACCGAGTGTGTGTGTGTGTGATGGGAGGGCTACCGAGTGTGTGTGTGTGTGTTGAGAGGGCTACCGAGTGTGTGTGTTGAGAGGGCTACCGAGTGTGTGTGTGTGTGTGTTGAGAGGGCTACCGAGTGTGTGTGTGTGATGGAAGGGCTACCGAGTGTGTGTGTGTGTTGAGAGGGCTACCGAGTGTGTGTGTGTGTGTGTTGAGAGGGCTACCGAGTGTGTGTTGAGAGGGCTACCGAGTGTGTGTGTGTGTGTGTTGAGAGGGCTACCGAGTGTGTGTGTGTGATGGGAGGGCTACCGAGTGTGTGTGTGTGTTGAGAGGGCTACCGAGTGTGTGTGTGTGTGTTGAGAGGGCTACCGAGTGTGTGTGTGTGTGTGTTGAGAGGGCTACCGAGTGTGTGTGTGTGTGTTGGGAGGGCTACCGAGTGTTGAGTGTGTGTGTGTGTTGAGAGGGCTACCGAGTGTGTGTGTGTGTGTTGGGAGGGCTACCGAGTGTGTGTGTGTGTGTTGGGAGGGCTACCGAGTGTTGAGTGTGTGTGATGGGAGGGCTACCGAGTGTGTGTGTGTGTGTGTTGAGAGGGCTACCGAGTGTGTGTGTGTTGAGAGGGCTACCGAGTGTGTGTGTGTGTGTGTGTTGGGAGGGCTACCGAGTGTGTGTGTGTGATGGGAGGGCTACCGAGTGTGTGTATGTGTGTGTTGAGAGGGCTACCGAGTGTGTGTGTGTGTTGAGAGGGCTACCGAGTGTGTGTGTGTGTGTTGGGAGGGCTACCGAGTGAGTGTGTGTGTGTTGAGAGGGCTACCGAGTGTGTGTGTGTGTTGGGAGGGCTACCGAGTGTGTGTGTGTGTGTTGAGAGGGCTACCGAGTGTGTGTTGGGAGGGCTACCGAGTGTGTGTGTGTGATGGGAGGGCTACCGAGTGTGTGTATGTGTGTGTTGAGAGGGCTACCGAGTGTGTGTGTGTGTTGAGAGGGCTACCGAGTGTGTGTGTGTGTGTTGGGAGGGCTACCGAGTGAGTGTGTGTGTGTTGAGAGGGCTACCGAGTGTGTGTGTGTGTTGGGAGGGCTACCGAGTGTGTGTGTGTGTGTGTTGAGAGGGCTACCGAGTGTGTGTGTGTTGAGAGGGCTACCGAGTGTGTGTGTGTGTGTTGGGAGGGCTACCGAGTGTGTGTGTGTGATGGGAGGGCTACCGAGTGTGTGTATGTGTGTGTTGAGAGGGCTACCGAGTGTGTGTGTGTGTTGAGAGGGCTACCGAGTGTGTGTGTGTGTGTTGGGAGGGCTACCGAGTGAGTGTGTGTGTGTTGAGAGGGCTACCGAGTGTGTGTGTGTGTTGGGAGGGCTACCGAGTGTGTGTGTGTGTGTTGGGAGGGCTACCGAGTGTGTGTGTGTGTGTTGAGAGGGCTACCGAGTGTGTGTTGGGAGGGCTACCGAGTGTTGTGTGTGTGTATGTTGAGAGGGCTACCGAGTGTGTGTGTGTGTGTTGAGAGGGCTACCGAGTGTGTGTGTGTGTTGAGAGGGCTACCGAGTGTGTGTTGGGAGGGCTACCGAGTGTTGAGTGTGTGTGTGTGTGTTGAGAGGGCTACCGAGTGTGTGTGTGTGTGTTGAGAGGGCTACCGAGTGTGTGTGTGTGTGTGTTGAGAGGGCTACCGAGAGTGTGTGTGTGTAGTGTCGTCTAGTCATGAGCGCACAGCGCTGCGAACCTGAAGACCCAAGTTTGATTCCAGATCACGACCAATAACAGCGGCGTACATGTGAACGACGTCGTGGGCATCCCCTAGGTCGACTCAGCCTTTATTGAGTAGCTGGATTGCTGTGTAAACATCAGCACCGGGTAGACAAAGGCGGACGGGCGTGGTGCTGGCCACTCACTCCCTCGTGTGCCGAGCAGGCCTTCATAGGTGCTCGCTAACAGCACTTGCCCCCAACAGTCTGTTACAGGCTAAATGGAGGATCTTTGTGTGTGTGTGGAGCAGTGGTGTTGTGGTTGGGGCACTGCGCTACGAACCCGGCGACCCGAGTTCGACTCCCGCTCAGGACCGATAACACTGGCGAATATTTGAGCCGGTCCTGGACCTCCCCTAGCTCGACTCAGCCTTCAATGCGTACCTGGCGCGGTGTGTAAAACATCAGGATTTGGGAGACAAAGGCGGACTCGCGCGGTTCTGACTAATCACTGCCTCGTGTACTGTGTCCGCTTTCATAGGCGCTATGAATGCCGACACGGGGGTGGGTGGGGGGTCTTGGGGGGGAAGAGGTCGGGCGAGATATCTTGTACCAGGCGCCACAATGTCTCCTGTATAACTGTCCGTAGGACAATCTGTGTATCTCTGTGTCCGTCTGTCTTGTCTGTTAGGATCTCGCTAGAGGTAAGCGGTGGGGAAAGAGAGAGGTGGGGGGGGGGATACGAGGTGTCATGGGAATTTTCTCGTCTCTGACTTGCATTGCGCTTCTCTTCCATTACCGTGCATTAGCAGCCCGACCTCACGTTGCTGACAACTCAATATTCAGCAGCGGTTAAATCATCTCCTTTATACTCTCTGGTTCTTTCAGTAAAGTCACGTAGATAGATAGAATAAAAGAAAACACGACGTTTGGGTCGCAACACAAGCGTCCGTCTTCAGGTGACCGAAACGTCCGTCTTCAGGTGAAGACGGACGCTTGTGTTGCGAAACGTCGTGTTTTCTTTTATTCTATAATTTTTTCAATCTACGTGACTTTACGGAAAGAACCAGAGAGTATGGATTCCTGCAGTCACGAAAGCTTCAAATCGACACTTCTCCTGTATACTTTGAAGTCAAAAAGAAAGGCTTGCGTAAGATAGACGGGCCACGTGAGACCACACCGGCCACCACCGCGAGCTCCACACGCGCCCCCAACCTATTCCCAGAGGTCCCACACACAAAGGCAAAGACTAAGACCCCCCCCCCCCCCCCGTCTAGCCTTTAACAGACATTCGGGGCAAGTGCTGTTAGCGGGTAGCGCGGGTGATGGCCGGCACGGCACACGAGGGGGTTGGGGTGGCCACCATCACGCCGTGGTCGTCTTTTGTCTAGCCGGCGCTAAATGTGTACACGCCGCGACAGGCACTACTCAATTAAGGCTGAGTCGACCTAGAGAAGGCCCAGGACCGGTTTAGATTATCGTCATAACGAGAATGTTGACCGCGAGCGGGGGATCGAATTCCGGGCCGCCGGGTTCGTAGTGCCGCGCACTAACCACACACAGACACGCGCCGTAACAACGAGGTTGTGACAGGTGGCGAAGTACTTTCATTGCAAGCGAAACAAAATCAATAACCCAAGGAACGTCAATCAACCGCCCATATTCTCGAAGTCTGAGCTCTTGCTAACGCTGGAAGATTCCCGGAAGTGTACTCATGCGAAACGTCGGACAAAAGCTGCCAAATTCTGCTCGCTTTCCGAACGTAACCGGTTTTGCTGAAAAACCAAAATCAATTTACGTATTTGTCCACGTGACCAGTTCATCAGCTTGGCTGTGTCGGGTGGCGGAGGGTGCACATCTGTAGTTGATATTGACACCAAGACGCGCGCTCTCTCACCCAGAAACATTTTTTTTTAATCCGTCCATATCCAGGTGGATGAACGCACAAACTATCGGATGCCAGTGTGTCTGTCCCACGTGTCCCGGTCTGTCTCGGGGGTCTCTCCCGAGCAGCCTCGCGTCGCTCCCTCCTCGTCTCCTCTCCTCGTGTCTCAAGAGTGCACGTCGCCCTTGCTCTCAAGAGACATCACCCCGTGAGGCCGATTGCTCCGTTCGACGTTAAACTCACTGCCTTGCTGATGGATGCTGCTGCGTTCGCTGGGGTCCAAAGGCGCGGTTAACCAGAACAGCAAGTCGGCACATTCATCGATTTACACTGTTTGGGAAAACATATATAAATATTTATATATAAAGGACCATTCCTCAAAACGTCGAATTGGCGGTCTGTCGTGGTGTTTGTATTATCGGTATTGCAGCACGGTGGTGGTGGTGTTTGTGGCGCTTGGGACGTCGGTAGTGGTGCTGGTGGTGGTGGTGAACGTGACGGTGATGGAGGCATTGATGGTGGTGGTGGTGGTGTTGGTGGTGGATGTGACTTTGATGGTGGTAGTGGTAGTGTTAGAGGTGGCGGTCTTGACGATGGTGGTGGTCTTGACGGCGATAGTGGTGATTGTTTTTTGTGGTGGTGACGGTGGTGGTGACGGTGGTGATGATGGTGGTGGTGGTGGCGAACACCCAATCGACACCTCTGTCGGGAGTCAAACCCAGACGGCTCCCCCTACTAAGTGTCCCCGACTCCGCCCCCTCCCCCCCCCCCTCCTGGCCATGTCCCGCAGCGCTGCTGTACGCAACGATCTTCGGGAACGTTACGACGATCTTCCAGCAGATGACAGCGAGCACCAACCGCTACCACGAGATGCTGACGAGCGTGCGCGACTTCCTGCGCCTCCACCACGTGCCGCGCGGACTCAGCGAGCGCGTCACGGACTACATCGCCTCCACGTGGTCCATGTCTCGCGGCATCGACACGGACAAGGTACGGGGTTAGGGCGGGGAGGGAGAGAATCGCAACAGCGAGGAACTCGTCCCAAAAGGCTCGGATAGGTTTTGTGTTTTTTTTTCTGTGTAATCACGCACGACCGGTCCCAGAGGTGTATAGGCCAGCTTGGTCCACGGACAAGCGGGTCTCCGAGCTCATGAGTTATCTGTTCACTGTCCGGGCCGACGAGCTTCCAGGGCCCTTCCTCCTCTCTGCCTGTGACTTGGCCGCCTCTCTCCTTGAATTGACTTATCCTCACTGCCTCCGTACAGCGTATTGAGATGCGATCGAAGTTAGACGATGCTGTATGTATCCACGTTGTACTGCACTATGGTAATTGTGGCGATGTGTGTTGAACGTCTTTCGCGCCGTACGTAGCCAAGCGTGCTAATCGTCGGTGCGGGGGATTAATGTGTCGATGTGAGGATACATGGGTATCTAAATGGATGGAGATGGTGGTGGCGATGATGGAGACAATAGGATGACAATGACGATTAGAATGATAACGATGCTCATGACGGCAGTAGTGATGGTAATGATGACAGCGACAATGATCTCAATCTACAAGCGGGAACATTGCTCCCCCACCCCCCTGAACCACCCCCCCCCCAAACCTACTCCCTCGGGAAGGTGCTGAGAATATGCCCCAAGGACATGCGCGCAGACATCTGCGTCCACCTGAACCGCACCGTCTTCTACGAGCACCCCGCGTTCCGCCTGGCGAGCGACGGCTGCCTGCGGGCCCTGGCCGTGGAGTTCCAGACGGTGCACTGCGCACCGGGAGACCTGGTCTTCCACGTGGGCGAGAGCGTGGACTCGCTGTGCTTCGTCGTGTCCGGCTCCCTCGAGGTGGTGCAGGACGACGAGGTGGTGGCAATCCTCGGTGGGTGGGCGTCCTCATCATCGTCGATCGGCGTCGGTCCGCAGTGGCCGCTTAAGCCATCAATGGGCCAGACCGTTTGGGAGCGTTCCTCCAGGTGTCGCCAAGATCCGTAGTCCCCTAGCCGGGCCCTCCTGGATAGGCACGGCCCGCGTCATCGTCGAACGCGACGATCCGCGAGCTCCAGGTGAGCCCACATAGGATCGGGTTTCGATCCAGGATCTGATCTTGGACCCTCACCGGGTAGGGCGAGGTTGAGCCACATCGCCTGCTTACGGACAAGCTGCGTGGCCCGAATAGGCCCAGACGGCGGTGTCGGAAACTCTCCTCTCTGTGGGCGAGACCAGCGCGGGATGTCACGGTGACAGTTGTGATGAAGTCAGACCACTTTGATCCCAAGGATAATGATGATGATGATGCACCGTTGACAGCTCGTGTGGAAAGCCTCCAGAACGCTTGGCGTCGGACGCTAGCAGTGTCCAGGTCTCGTTTCAACGGGTCGATGCGACGCCCCTGCATCCGCTAAAGGCTGCTACGTTTCACCACAATGTTAAATATATATTTATAAAACAACAATACAACTGAACGCGTTTGAAAATAACACTGCGTGGCCGTGAATGGAAACAATATACACAATAGGTAACTCATCGGGCACATATGTGCAATAAAAAAATCCACGTGTGCTATGAAAAAGGGATATGACCAGAAGCGCTTCCTATTATATATTTGTTTCCTTTCAGGGTCGCTGTTACTTAACGAGTGTGTTGAACTGTCAATTTGGCTCGTGCACCAACCACTCCTAACTCAGCAGCCGCAGCATCACCAGCTACTTTGTTTAAAAGTAGCATAGACTACTAGATGGAACCGCGACCCTAAATGGCAACGATTCATCTTAAATTCTCCATGGGGGGGTGGAGGGCGTGAGAGTGAATGAGCGGTGGCGTTGTGGCCAGCGCACCACGCTATGCCTTCAGCCACCTGGGTTCAATTCCCGGCCACGGCTAACATCAGTGACGAGTGACAACAAAACCGGTCTTGGGCCTCCCCTAGGTCGACAAATTATTACCCGGTGCGGTGCGTCCCGATCAGCACTGGAGAGACAAAAGGCGCTGTGCCGGCCTCAATAGGTGCTCGCTAACTGCACTTGCACCAGCAGCTCGTTAGAGGCTACACTTGGGGTCCTTAGTGGTGTTTTAGGTCCAACTCACAGCGAGCGTCCTGCTCTGTCGCTCGTGCCGAGCGCCACGCGCCCCCCACCCATGCCCCCCTCCCCCGCCTCCCTCCCCTCCTACTCACCCAGCCACTGCTGCTGCCAGCTTCCCAATGATGAATTATTCAAAGGGGGAACGCAGTGGGGAGTCAATTAAGATCTGGCCGCGTGCGGACTATTATATATTTATTCGTTTATTATGAACATCACATTAACAACAACAACAACAAAAGCCACGCCGTTACACAGAGGGGAGAACCGTCGGGGGGAGATGCATGCGGGACAGAGACGAGGCGAGCCCTGAGGTTGGTGAGAGATTGCAGGGGGATCCCACACTCTGCTCGCAACCCGCACCCTCTGCAGCACTGCCCTGGGCCGCATCGTGATGATGCGAGGGGGCGGGTGGCCACGTGTACTCCACACGTGCACACGCACTCGCGCGCTTGCCTTTAACGAGCACAATTACTGAGCGCCGGCCCCCAAGAAAAGGTCAAAAAAAATTCCAAGAGGCCAGCGACAAACGGCACCTCTTAGAGTTGTGATAAATAAGCGATGACACTCGTACGAGTTTGTAGGGTACTGCGTGGACATGAAGAGCGCTGCAGATTACGCAGCAGCAAGGCGACATCACGGGCAGGGCAGAGTTGGTGGCGTGGAGTCATCCCTCTGCAGCCGGGAGGCGCGGAGTGAGGAGTGCGCTAGTTGTTGTTGTTGTTGTGGTGGGGGGCTGGGAGCACCCACTCCATCGACTTCGCATCCTGGGCAGCCCCTCCCTCCTCGCCTCCTCCCCCGCCCGCGAGCCCTTGCGGACCACCTCATCCTCTCCTTGTGCCGAGCGCCTCCGCGATTCTGTGTCCATGAAAGTTTAATGAGACTGGGAGATATGGGGGGAGGGGGACATGTGGGGTGGGGTGGGGAACCGAGGGGGGCCGAGGGGGGCCGCGCTGCAACTGACTCGAGGCTCCGAGCGTCGAGAGGATGGGCAGAGTCCGCGATTAATGCGCGAGCGAGGAGTTTGTAAACACGGGGTCATTACTCTCTGTCAATCACACACACACATACAAAGATCCCCCGTATAGCCTTGACAGACTTTTGAGGCAAGTGCTGTGAGCGAGCACCTATGAAGGCCCGAACGGCACGCGAGGGCGTGCGTTGGCAGCATCACGCCCGGCCGCCTTTGTCTCCCGAGTGGCGATCTTTACACACCGCACACCAGTTACTCATTAGAGGCTGAGTCTACCTACACACACGTGCGCACGTAAAAAAGACGTACTCAGATACACACGTGACGCACGAACAAATAGAGCCATCGTGCAGCTGTCAACATTGTTGGGTGAGTGTTGTTAGCGAGCGCCTATTATGAGCACGAGGGGCGGCGCTGTGGCCAGCCCCAAGGCCCTCCGCCTTTGTCTGCCTCGATGCTGATGTTCAGTCGTCGCATCAGAGGTCCTCATTTTAAAGCTGAGTCGACCAAAGGGAGGCCCAGGACCCGTTGAGATATACAGTCGTCACTGACGTTAACCGTGGCCGAGAATCCCACTGAGGTCACCGGTTTGGTACCTCAGTCCGCTAACCACTGCGCCACCACTCAGTCCACATAAGAGAGACAGTCATGATATCAATCGTTCGCAGCCCTTTCTTTAAAAAGAAAAACATACAAGCTTGGGCTAACGGCGTCTGTAATTGACAGCCATTACCTCGAGCGACTTTGTCCCCAGCAGTAGGGGTCCGGGTGCTCCGTGCCAATCATTCGTTTATAATAGAGGGGTTTTTTTCGGGTTAGATCGCGTAAATATGTGTCGTTAAACCCGCCACCACCCGACACAGCCAGCTAGTAAGGGTTGTCACGTAAAAGGAACATGTCAATTCGTCACTAGTACAGCACACCGGTGTGTTGGAGAGCCAAGCCACAATATTTACAATCTGAGTACGACGTTTCGCCAGTAATTACAACTAGCTTCATCAGGCGACAGACAGATTTGGCTGCCAAATCTGGCTGCCGCCTGATGAAGCTAGTTGTAAAAACGCCGTACTCAGATTGTAAATGTTGTGGCTTGGCTCTCCAACACACCGGAGTGCTGTACAAGTGACGAATTGGCCACGTTCTGTTTACGTGACAACCCTTACTAGTTGGCTGTGTCGCGTGGTGGCGGGTTTAACGACACATTTCTATATTTACGCCATCTAACCCAAAAAAACCTCTATTGTGGATGATATTGGTCGCGAAAGCCTACGACGTGTTGAACATTCTTTAGTTTGTGGTCCTTCCCCCGCACCTTCAATTAGCACGGTTGGCTAGGTACGATGCAAAAGAAGTTCAACATACATCCATACACACAGTCAACCCCGCGTCACCCCACCCGATCTGTCACCGGGCTCTTCCCCAACGCGCGCGGCTTCCCAGCAGCGCGAACGCCCCGCTCCTTCGATTCTCGCGCAATTACGCAGCGCGACCCGAGGCCTCATTAGCGCGGTGGCTAACTCCTTCTTCCCCGCACCCACCCACCCCACGCAGGCAAGGGGGACGTGTTTGGAGACGCGTTCTGGCGAGAGAGCGGCCTGGCGCAGGCGTGCAGCAACGTGCGCGCGCTCACCTACTGCGACCTGCACGCCATCCCGCGCGAGCCGCTCCTGCGAGTTCTCTCCTTTTACGCGCCCTTCGCCAGCTCCTTCGCACGACAGCTGCTGCTCACCTTCAACCTGCGCAAGCGCGTGCGTGGCGCCCTGCACCCAGCACCGACACTCACTCCGCTCGCTCCCTGCACTCGCCGCACAGCGCCCTTCTCTGCACCCGACGCCCAGCGCGCAAGTACACAGGGGCAGTGCGATATGAACCACCAAATCCATCCCGTTGAGCGCGGTTGGTTTCATACTACGTACGGTGCGAAAGACGTTCAACGTACGTACGTGCACACAATACGACGTGAATCACCAAACCACCCAGCACCCGGCGCCCAGAACCGTGGTCCCTGCACGCTGGGTCACGCACCCAGCACTTATGGTGGCACCATAACATACGCGATGCACCAAACCCCCCGGACACCCTCCCTGCCCCGGGCGCCCTGCACCCGGCGCACCCTGCAACGCGCACCATAGCGCACCCTGCACACGATGTGGAGGAACCAGCATCGTTCACCAGGCACTGAGCTGCTAGCCCGGCTACTTGAGTTCGATTTGCCGTCCAAGGAAAGCATCAGAAGCGAGCGACGTCCGAAACAGTGCGAGGTCGCTCACCACCACGCCCCGCACCTCTTCACAGACCCGCGCGGAGTAGCGTGGTGAAGTATGGCCAAGCAACCCTAATGATCGACGCAGTGTGGGGAAGCCTTCATCCAGCAGTGGATCGCCACACTATTAACAATTGTCATGATACAATGAGTACAAGGATCTGGTTCTTGGTGCAAATCGAATACGCGGCCCCCACTCTCGCCACTGCCCCCGACCCCCACCACCTCTGCCCCCCCCCCTCTTCCCACCCCCCCCCCCCTACCCACCCCCCCAGATTGTGTTCAGAAAAATCAGCGACGTGAGACGCGAGGAGGAGGAGGCGGCGGCGCGGGCGAGGCGGGGGAGCACGGCCCCCCGCGTGGAGCTGCACTCCGAGCATCCCGTGCGCCGCCTCCTGCAGCGGCTGCGGCAGCAGAAAGAGGCGCGGGGCGCGGCTGAGAGGGGTCCCCCAGCGGGGGGCGGCGCGGAGGAGCCCGAGCCGGACTCGGTGCCCCCCACGGTCCCCAATGGCTCATCGGTCAGCGGCAATAGCAGTAGCGTGGTGACCATCACGGAGGCGCCCGGTCCCTCTCACGTCAAGCCGACCTCTCTGCCCCTGAGCCTGCAGGGGTCATCGCCGGCACTGGGGCACAGCGCTCCGGGGGCCCTGCTCTCGGCTCCCAGCGCGGGGCCCTTCAAGAAACCCACGGGGTGGTCGCGCTTCAGAGGGGCCCTCAACGCCGCCTCCAAGGAACCCAGCGGTGGCGAGAGCCGGGGCCACTCTTCGACAGAGGTCATCGAGATGACGGAGGCGAGCGTACGGGGGCGCGAGGAGAGGGCCGGCGGGGCGAGCACCCCGTCGCAGGTGCACGTGTGGGAGGCGTCGCCCGCCACCTCCCGCGCGCAGAGCCCCACCGCGGGCGCGGGCCGGACCCCCGAGAAGGTGCCTCTGAGGAAGACGGAGTCTTGCGACAGCGGCATCACGCGCAGCAGCCAGAGGCTGGACGCGCACGACGGAGCGCGGAGCTCGGAGCACAGCCCCGCAGCGACGGGGCCAGCGGCCGGGGCAGTGGCCGTGAGAGAAGTGCGACGGCCGTGCCTCGCCATCCCCGAGCAGAGGCTGCACGCGTCCGTGCTGGGCGCGCGGGATGACCTCAAGCAGGACGTGATGTCGCTGGGAGCGCGCATGGCCGGCATGGAGAAGCAATTGGCGGAGATCGTGCGGCTGCTGAACGAGCGGCAGGTCCGTGACTGTGGTCCGTGACTGTGGCCCGTGGCTGTGGTCCGTGACTGTGGTTCTTGACTGTGGTCCGTGACTGTGCCCCGTGACTGTGGCCCGTGACTGTGGTCCGTGACTGTGGTCCGTGACTGTGGCACGTGACTGTGGTCCGTGACTGTGCCCCGTGACTGTGGCCCGTGGCTGTGGCCCGTGACTGTTGCCCGTGACTGTGGCACGTGACTGTGCCCCGTGACTGTGGTCCGTGACTGTGGCACGTGACTGTGGTCCGTGACTGTGGCACGTGACTGTGGCCCGTGACCGTGGCCCGTGACCGTGGCACGTGACTGTGGTCCGTGACTGTGCCCCGTGACTGTGGCCCGTGACTGTGGTCCGTGACTGTGGCACGTGACTGTGCCCCGTGACTGTGGCCCGTGACTGTGGCCCGTGACTGTGGTCCGTGACTGCGGTCCGTGACTGTGGCCCGTGACTGTGCCCCGTGACTGTGGTCAGTGACTGTGGCCCGTGACTGTGCCCCGTGACTGTGGTCCTTGACTGTGGCCTGTGACTGTGGCCCGTGACTGTGGCCCGTGACTGTGCCCCGTGACTGTGGCCCGTGACTGTGGCCCGTGACTGTGGCACGTGACTGTGCCCCGTGACTGTGGTCCGTGACTGTGCCCCGTGACTGTGGCCCGTGACTGTCGCGACCCGGCGCGTGGCTCCAGGCTGAGGGGACTACAAACTCGGCCGCAGGTTTATTTTTGTTGTTCCCAGCCAGGTGGAGTCAAGTATTATTGAAGCGTGAAGATTATTATTTTATTACCGATTATAATAATTATGATAATGCACCAGTGATGATTGTTCTTGAAGATGGTGAATTCATTATTGACGAAGACGATTGATGAGGATGATCGATACTAAACTGTGCTCCCACCAGTCCAGATTTCCTGGGAAGGTTGCACTTACTGCCCGGTCTCTCTTCTGCCAGAGAGAACTATCGCAATAAAATATTCTTCCGACTCATCAATCACCACCCCTCGACCCGGAGCCCGGAGCAGCGGACACCGAGGAGGCAGGGACTTGTGGACAGGCCCCGCAGCAGCAGCAAGGACTTGCGGACATCGGGGCTCTCACGAGGCGTCTGGATTCTGTGTCGCGAACTGTCGCCACCCTTGGTCGTGTGTTCGACTCGATATCGACTTCCAGAGTGAGAGAAGGAGAACTGCTGTCGTGCTGCCTCGTGAGACTCCCCTCCCCCCCCCACCACTTCGCCTCACCCCCCCCCCCCCCCTCCTCATGTCCACGTGTCCCTAAGCGCCTGCGTTAGTTGCATTGGGTAGATGTTGCAGATGCATGGCAAGTGTCAGCGCCGGGGGGGGGGGGGGGTGGGGGTCCTGGGTCGAATTGTGGATCCTGAAAAATCAGCGAGTGACCTCACACAGTGATCACGTGGTCCAGGCGATCAGATCACTCGGTGGACGTCCCGCGAAACGTTCCTCCCATTAATGCGACCGCCTCAATGGTCCTCGTCGCTCGGTGCGCGCGGTGATTTACCGTCTCGCCGATCGCGTCTCGTCTCGATGGCTAACCTCGTTCATTGATCCTCGTCACTCGTCGATTCCCCAAGTCAGTGGCGATCCTCTCGCAGAGATGTCCCCGCCGAGTGATCTCCTCTCTTGAACTGCGAGTTCGGTGATCTCTCTATATATATTGGAAAAAAAAAATCTCCCAACTCAATAAAACTCACCTCGCACGGTGACGTCACAGTGGGTGACCTCTTCAACACCCCAACTCCCAGCAACCATGCCAACATCGGGCCAACGTTGGGAATGCGGTTGGAACCGTCGAGCCAACGTCGGCCCAACGTTCATTCAACGCTCCACGTTTAATGGGTGGCGTCCTCACCTCCGCAAGCTCCTCGTGCGGGGGCTCCCGGTGCATCAACAAGATCCGCATGTGGCCCTCGCCTCGCGCGCACCAACACCGCGACCACGTGTCTCGTGAATGCTCGGGAATGCGAAATTCACGCGGTGGAAACGACGGCGAAACCTCGACCACAAGCAAGCAAACGTCGATTAAACGTCGATTAAACGTCGATTAAACGTCGATTAAACGTCGATTAAACGAGTCTTTGCAGTACCCCGGGTCGCTGTCGAGTTCCTCTTCCTGTCGCGTGGACTTACTCGGCGTCGACTTGAAACCAGATACAATATTCCCCCACCCCAACCTCCCTCCAGTATGCACCGAATTATCCGGAATAAAAGGAGACGCTCAGAAAAAAAGTAAGACGCAATCCCAAGCCTTGTGCCCCGCGTCAATAACGTTACATACTTATTCTCGTCTCTATCTCCCCCACACACACACACCAACACAGTACATCTCACCTGATTATGAGACGCACCCCCAACCATTGCTCCGAAATACTTCGACAGGCAAACGGTCTATCTTATAATCCTGAGAATACGGTTGAAGGGGAAGTGTAAGGTTGAATCGAATAATGGATTGTTAGTACAGACGCAAACCCCGGACGCTAAGGGGGTTGCGTGGTCAGTGTTTACCAATCAGCAGGCGCGTGCAGCGTGTAAATATCTCAGTTCGTATTTTCGAACGCAGGAGATCGGTGAACCTTGTAGAGGCGACACGAATCTTCTTCCTGATACAGCTGCTGTTACTGTCGAGAAACAAGGGTAATGTTACAATGAAGTGATTAATGAACCAGATGATTGCGTCAGGGGGTAGTGGAGTGGTGCATCGTTTCTTTGATTATGCTTCCTTCGCGTTCATAATCAGAATATGTATTTATAGTGGAGGAATCCGATGAGCTATAAAGCTCTTTTTTTGACAGATGTCCGGTAGGGGCAGGTCAGAACGTTACAACAACAAACAATACATAACACGATAAGAGTGAAAAGCATAGGAAAGTTAAGCAAGTTACTTTTTTTAAGTACGAATAGAACTAAACGATTTGTTTTTATCCTACCAGGTAAAGCCCACTGAAATTTTAGCTTATTTTTTCAGAAACGACCTGGCCACAAATAATAGCTCAACGAAGCGGTTTAGCAGGTGAACGAAGAGGTATTTGTCCTGGGTGATCACAGTCTTCGCACACCGCCGGATAGTTTCATTTATTTATTCTCCGTGTGTGCATCATCATCGTCGTCGTCATCAAAGTATCCCTCAATCTTCTGCAGAGTGCCATGGTTTGTGTAAGGACGCGGTCCAGGAGTTGTGGACCCAGAAGCTTCACAGGGATCGTCCGAGTCGTTGGTTCATTGACGAGGATGTTTGTCCACGTGGTGAGAGAGAAAGAGAGAGAGGCGATGCCATTGCGGCGAGGGCTTGCGGTGCTGGGAAATCCCGCACGCCACCACCTTCGTTATTAATGCTCTACCGCTTTAAAAGCCTCTGCTCCTAAAACCTAAAATGCGCTATCTATCCTTCACAACGTTTCCAGACCCATTTAGGTAATTGGCGGGGAGGGGGCTGGTAAGGTTGGGAATCTGAAAGGGGGGGGCAGGGGTAGCGAAAGGAGGGGGGGGGGGGTTGGTGGGGTGGTTGTTGTTGAGCTCAGCTCCCCCAGCTCCTGACCATCAATAACGAGACGGGGAGACGAGGAGCCGGGACCATTCAATTAGCGGAGCCAGGGCCCCTCCCTCCCTCGAACCCCCGCCCCTCGACCCCCCTTAAATCCCCAGTCACATCTCCCCGCAGCCGAGACTAAAGCGTGGGGCTTTCCCTTCACCTTCCCCCCAAGCCCTCCCCCCCCCCTCCAGCCAGCCCCCCCCCCCCCCCACACTTTCTCTCGTGCTTTCAGGGACGCGGACACCTGCCGAGAGAGCGGGAGCGTCCCCCCTACTCCCCACCGCCCCTCCCCCATCACCCTCACCCCACCTCTCTCTCTCCCTACTCTCACCACTCACCTGTCCAGGTGAAGAGACCCCCGCCTGCGCGCGCCCAGGCTCCTGGAACAACTGACGCGCGCACGCGAAAATCCGGCGTCATTGTTAGAACGCTGAATCCGACCGTGAACTTCACCTTAATCCCTGACCCGACCTCTCACCTCGACACGTTCGGTCAGCCAGTAACACGGCTCAGAAAACCTCGCTGGCCGCGATCGGCGCCACGGCCGTAGCAGGAGGGTGGTGGAGGATGACCCGGCTGCGATCGTCAACATCAGCCTCACGATACACTTGAGAAACCGGTTTAGGCATAGGCAGCTGTGAAACCTGGTGTCAGCACGGTACCAGCTCAGCGCGGTGACCTCTGAGCCACGGGGCCACCTCATCCCACGCACAGGTTAAAAATATCGCGCAATTGTTTAAGACGTAGGGCGTCCCGTACAGAGCCCATCATCATCATCATCAACGCGTCAATTCATCGCCATCGGGTGTTGGATCAATGAAACAGAGAGATGCTGACCCATGCCCTCACCCTGACCAAGTGCAAAGCCGTCCAGCAACCGCAGCCAGCCATGAATTCAATTCTCATTCTCTTTGGTTTTATTCGGTAAAGTCACGTAGGTAAAACAAATTAAAATAAAATAAACAATTAAAACACGACGTTTCGGAGGCAACGCAAGCTTCCGTCTTCAGGTGGGGCCAGTCACAGCCAAAATCGCTGCACTTGGTGACTTTACCAAGTGCAGCGATTTTTACCGAATAAAACCAAAGAGTATGAATCCTTGCAATCACGAAAGCTTCAAATCTAGAATCAACTCTCATTGTAACCCTGACCCCTTCCATAAACCATCGTATTAAATAACTGAATGATTGCATGTTCCTCCGGTAACCCGGTACGACCACGTCCCGGCTATTGTGTAACAACAACTTGAGACGCGCTTGCGTTTACGATCCCTCTGCAGAAGCCCATCACCGCACTGGACCCGCCGATCCCCTGGACCCGCCGATCCCCTGGACCTGCTGATCCCTGAACTCGCTGGAATGGACGCGGCACCCCGACGTGAGTGCTGCATTCTGGGGGGCCACGTCACCTTCACGGATTCGCAGAGCCGCACTAATGAGCTCATTAGCATATGGGTGCTTCTAATTAAGCGCTCAGGGGAACCCGACCGCGAGCACGACAGAGGTCTCGGCGGTGTCGCGGTGACTCAGCCGCCACCCCCCCCCCCCCCCCACCCCTCTCGGGGTCGGTGCCACCACCCCCTTACCCCGGTGCAGAATCAACGAGGCCTCGTTCCGCGCTCGTTCTGCGCTCAACAAAAGAAACGCCACCTTTTGTTGAATCGCCCCTTTGCCCTCCCACCCCCCCCCCCACCACCACCAACACCCCCACCAAGTGACGAGTCCATAATTCTAACGTTTTCCCTACCAATTATATTTCAACAGTGCTGTGTCATGAGGTCGTGAGACGGGGGGAAGGAAGTAAAATAAAACAAACACATCCATTCGGATCTCTCGTTCGGGAGCACTCCATCGCCCCGTGTCAGCAGAGTCGGGCCTCTGCGATGTGACGGCGCATTCCGAGTGGCAATTCTCAAGGGAGTCTTGTCCACGCCAGGGGCGCTACAGCCCTCTCACGCGCCTTCGCCGTAGAGGCGTTCGGACCCCATGACACACCGAGTGATTGATTTGTATGAACATTACCAAAAAAAGATCAGGATTAACGTGAAGACCACCCTGTGTTGTCATTGGTGTGACCGGGGTTGAGACGATCAATTCACTCCGCCTTTAGATGGCTAGTCAACGGTGCGTGGTCAATTCTAGATTTGAAATTTTCGTGACTGCAATGATCCATACTCTTTGGTTCTTTCGGTAAAGTCACGTAGGTAAAAAACAAAAAATAAAGTTAATCAAATCACGACGTTTCGGAGGCAACACAAGCTTCCGTCATCAGGTGTAACTAGCACAGCAAAATTACTGTGAACGACGAGCAGATTTAAGTGCAGCAAAATTATTTGTAAATGGATTAATTTAACATCAACCTTTACTGTACTGTGTATTTTTTTTTAATTCTTTACTATGTTATTTTGCTGTGTAATGTTGCTGTACTAGTTACACCTGATGACGGAAGCTTGTGTTGCCTCCGAAACGTCGTGATTTGATTAACTTTATTTTTCCCTACGTGACTTTACCGAAACAACCAAAGAGTATGGTGCGTGGTCAGCGTTCTGACCCGCGAGCCACTAGGCCACCTCCAAAACATTTTTGTCCATCGCATCATCCGCATTAAGCGACAAATCAAATTCAATATTGAGGATCCGTTGTGCAGCCATTGGTGAGTCCGTCGACTCGCTGTGCACGCGAGACCCCGGCTCAATGACGGGCGGCTGAAACCCGGATTCCCAACCCGGATCTCAGTGTCTCTGACATGACCATAATGAGCCAGCCCCCGCTCACACCACGGTTCATCGTTTCACGTGCCGCAGCTTCGCTCTGAGTGAGCGAGGCGACATGAACTCAAAGGCACCGATGGCGCGTTCAGTAATAGCACAAAGGAATTCTCGCCTCCGGCCCCACTTTTTGATTTTCCCTCCCGTGAAGTCTCGTGGCGTGGAGGTGCTTATACACACACACACACTGCACACGGCCATGCGCAGGACTGATGTGCTGTTAGCGAGCACCTCTTTTTAGGCGGCCTACGTCCTGAACGTCGACCTCGAGAGGAGCACCCAGGACAGGTTCAGATTACACGTGCCACACTGTTGGTGGTGGGAATGGCCGCGAATTTAACCCAGGTCAGTTGTTGGTTCCTAAGGCATTGCGCGAACTACTGAACGACTGCTTCTTATACAGAGACACAGACCCTCCCATAGAATATTTACCAGGCCGTTGGATCCCGTACTGTTAGCGAGCACCTATGGAGGCTTCCCATACACACGCGCACACAAAGCTAACGACTACACCACCGCTCCCCACATTGCACACAACTGACGCTATGTGGGGTCTTTTGAGATAGAATCTCCTCGCAGAATACGTGACACAACCAATTCTTGAAGACCCCAAGAGACCCCCACGTTTTATGAATTCCTCGGCGGGGGGGGGGGGGGGGTGGCCGGGAGGGGAGGAAGGCGTCGCGTGGTGCGACTATTGAAGAAAAATCCTATTTCATCTCCTTACAAAACACGTGATGTTTCAATAATGAGGAGGTGCGCGTATGCCCCCCCCCCCATCACCACCATC